ATGATTCCTCTCATGCTTAGACTTATCATTTCCCTTACCAAGATTTTTCTCATGTTCCCTCTTTAAAGATTTTCCAGCATCCCTTTCAGCCTCAGATCTCCTTAAACGTTTAGTCCTAGGTGATGGAGATCTAGGCCCAGGAGAGCTCGATTTCACTGGTTTGGGTGACTTAATGCGGCCTGAATGCCTCTCCCTCACGGGAGAACCACCCTTATCCCTATGAGAGCTCCTGTGACGAGCTGGAGATCTTTCTCTACGAGATGGGCTCCTACTACGAGAGCTCAAGGCAGGGGATCTTCTTCTTCTGCGAGGTTCACCATGATCCCTCTCTGGGGAGACTGAGTGTCTGGATGAACGATGCCTTGCCGGAGATTTTCGAACAACTGAAGGACTCATCTACACACCATAACAAAATTTACTGTTAAAAGAGAACATCCACAGTGTTACTAGAAGCTTTGAAAGCATCATAAGAAAACAATACATTTTCCTTAGGTATTTTTTTTTATATGTTAAATACGGCAAATTGGTGTATAACACAAATAACTGATGGCCACATGACTACAATCAGTAGCTAATTCAGGTGACTATTATAAAATTCAGAGGATGAAAAATTGATGGCGTGCCTACAACTGAGAAGCTTACAGCAATCCAATCACAGTAGACCAATAACAAGATACAAAGTCGAATAAAATAGTTCAATATCAATTTAAATTACAATTAACTAGAGCATACTCGTGCTAATGCACGAGCTATGTTATTTGTGAAAGAAAAAAACACATAGTGAAATGTTAGTAGTTATTGGAGTCCCTTGAAATAAAAATTTAGGAAAATAGTGGGATAGGTAGTTATTGGTAGTTTCTTTTTATAAAAATAAAAATAAATAAATAAAATAAAATAAAATAAATAAATCAAATGCATAAGATTTGAGTATTGGGGTTTTCGAGTGCTGTGATGAAAAGTTAGGGAAAAAAAAAACTCTTAAATTATAATATAGATATCCTCGGCTCTTATGTTTCAGTAATCCGCAACTCACAATTTTAAGTTTTATTAACAATTACTGTTTACATTTTAACAAAAGAAGCATAGCTCACTACACTATGAATAAATTGGATCCAAAATTCAATCCACCTGATGTAAACCAAATCCTATTTTCCTCTAACATTTTGGCTAATGCTATGTTAATACTTAGTATGCAACTGGTCCTTTTAATGCTTTATGGGAGTTGCATGTTTTACATCACACACTCACACTAAAAGTGAGAATTTTACCGGTGACAGGTTAACTTATACTATACATAGTATTGAAAACTCTAACCATTAGCATCACATGTCCCATACCCTTATTCTTCATTTTTCCCAGTTTAGAGAAAAATAATCATAATTTTCTCGGTTTCACAATAACAGTCTGTGTGTTAAAAACTAGATAAAAATTTTGCTTACTTATATTGGGCCTTAAAATGGGTTCCCAGTCATTGAACTAATTTAGTTCAGTAATTTTTTCTTTAGGAGATACCAAGATATTAGTGGCCATTTGTTTCCTTCTCCCTGTTAGAGTGGGAAGCAAAGTAATGTCAGTAATAAATACTTCATATAAAGCTAGGATTGTATGTTCAAGGAAGATGTTTATTGACAATTTTGTAAGTTAAGCTTTTGCTTGCTTGTGAGAGGTTCTGATTCAAGTGAGTTCGAGTTAGTCTTTCTAATTTGAGGATTGAGATCCAAAGGTTGTTGATAAAATAAACAACTGGGTTACTTAAATTCAATTACCACCAAACCCCACTACACCTAAATAGGCTATATACACTAATAGAGCCAAATTAACAACACCCACAAAGTCAAAACTCAATACACTTAGATGATTAGATCTACTCAAGTAAATTAAAACTCACTACACCCAATATGTTAAGTCAAAACTCATCACACTAACAATGAAATAAATTCAAAACTCTCACTCTCAATCTTATAAACAAAATGTCCAATTAGTAGAAACATCACTTCTGCAAAACAAACCCATCCCTAGGGCAAAAGGGGTGACCGCCTTGCCAAGGAGAAAAGTCTCATTTCCGTAGTTTTCCATCCTAACATAAAAGGATTATAAACAAAAGCCTGCAAAATTCGACTGAATGGTTGTTGTGGTTCAATGGCATTAAGACCTATTCCTAGAGGGAATCATTAGAGGTGTTCACGGCTCAAGCTCAATAAAATTAAAGCAGGGTCAGTCCAAGCTCAAGCTCGGGCTCGAGTAATTATAAACAAAAGCCTGCCAAAATTAGACTGAATGGTTGATATGGTTCAATGGCATTAAGAGGGACTCATTAGGGGTGTTAACGGCTCGATTTCGATAAGATTAAAGCAGTTCAGTCCGAGCTCGGGCTCGAGTAATTATAAGCTCAACTCAAAACCCAAGCTCAGCTCGGTCTCCAATAGCCTCAAAAAGGCTTGGCTCACGGACTCGATTACGCTCAAAAAATGCAACAAATTTGCAACAAAACTTGACTCAATTATCACATTAGGCTTGAAAAATCACATTAAATTCTTCTACTTTAATAATATCAACGTAAATTGCACAAACCAAAATTCTTGCAACAAATTCGCTTGTTATAGTATTTTATAAATAGAGTAATTATAACAAATAGTTCAATAATAACCCTAATCAACTATACTGAAAATTGAATTAGCGATAGTGAGAAACTAAACCCAGATTGTGAAATTAATATTCCATGATACAATATAAATAAATAAATAAATAAATAAAATAAAATAAAAATTACCCTTTTTCAATGGAGGAGAGAAAGCTCAGAATCCGCTTCAATGGAGAGCTCAGAGTTTGCTTCAATGGAGGAAAGAAAGCTCAGAAGTCGCTTCAATGGAAAACTCAGAGTATGCTTCAATGGAGGAAAGAGAAAGAGGGGTGCAGCGTAAAAGCGAAAAACTCCACAAGTTAAAAAAAAATTGAAAATGTTGGAGAGATTATTTACACTTACACATATGATGTCAACCGTTAGATCTGAGTAATATCGACGGTTAAAATCTATTTTCATTAAATTTTATTTTCATCTATATGGGTGATTTAAAAAAATAATTGTTTTTGTCAAAAAAAAAAAAAAAAAAAAAATTTGTTAATAAGGGAACTAATATCTTATGAACTTATTAACACTTTTACAGAGGATTAGATTAGAAGAATAATTACTCGTATAAGTTAAGTACTCAAATGACATTTCTAGATACAAAACACCGATTACTCGATTAGTGTTTACATATTTATGAAGATTGAATGTGGTTGGAAATAAGGAATATAAGTTGATAAATCAAATCAATTTAGCGGGAAGTGGAATTGACAGAGCCGTTAACCTTTGTCAAATACTCCGTACCTTTTAAAACCAAACCACTAAGCAACACTGAGGGTCTGTTCTCATACGTTGAAATTTAGTTCAGTTCAGTTCAGCTCCTAATTTCCTTCTCTTATAAAATATTCAGTTCAGTTCAGTTCAGCTGAGTTTAGTCAATGAGACACAGGCCCTGAGTATGCATATAATTAATTGCAATTAATGATCATATTCGTTTTTTGAACTTGAAGCCCCAACGAAATTTGACAATGTGCAACTATGGGTTACATCAGGTAAGGGTCGGTGTTGGGAATTGGATAGGTTTATTATTATTATTATTATTATTATTATTATTATTATTATTATTATTATTATTATTATTATTATTATTATTATTATTATTATTATTACTTATTATTATTATTATTATTTGGATAGGAAGCTGAATAGACATAAAAATTATATTGGAAAAAGTTGTTAAAGTAAGAAGTTACCCACTATTTAAAAATAAGTTAGGTGATGGTGTAAGAACTTAGCCTAAATGGATTTAGGATTTATTCATTATGCTACAAGCGAGCATCATATTACACTCTGCCTCACGGATGACCATAACGTCCATAAGTTTTAGAGAATTGATTGTTATAGCTTTTTATGTAGAAGTGAAATAAGTTGCCTCTTTGGATAGTCTTAACTCATCGAAAGCAAGAAAACATAATGCCATGGGAATAAGATTTGAACGAGCTTGAAATAGTTATTAATTCGATTCATTTTATCTCTAAATTGAAATAAATCATGTATTACTTGTTAAAGTTAAATATGCTAATAACTGCTAGTTTAATTTGAAAACATAAAATCAACCATAGAGGCATAAGTGATGAGCTTCTATACTCCCAAAAGATTACATTCTATACTTGGTTCGCTTGGTATGTATACTTTTTGTTTTGGTTTGATTGTGAGAATGTGAGGTTTATATCCGAGTTGTATTGCCAAGGCTTTTACCCATGATTAATATAATTCTTTTGTATTTAAAAAATTATTATTATTTTTTTGTAGGTTAAATTACATGAATCTTGACACTATTCATAAGTTGATGGATTAGATTTAGATCTTAATTAAAATCTTGTATTGGCAAAGGCGAAAATCAAATAGTAAAATACTAAAGGAGTAGTTGATATTTAAAAAAATTAAAGTGATGGAGATAAGAGGAGCAAAACAAATCTTGAACTATTTTGACTTCAACTTAATTATACCTTTTTTTTTTTAAAAAAAGAAACTCGATTATAATTTTGATTCAACGTTATTCCTTTGTTAACTATCACATGCTATTTTAACTTTTATTAAATCGAGATATCATTTTTGTCCGGACACACCTTGATAGTTGTTAGAAGAAACCGCACATTTTAAGTGTTTATGATTGATCAAGAATTCAAAGTTGGTTTCAAAAAAAAGAATTCAAAGTTAATATTTGAGCCCTCTTTTCCTAGATTAACGACTTAAACCCTCTTAACATGAGCGCGAATAAAAAATCCTTATCAAACCGGACCAAAATCCAACCCGACATTCGATCCGTATCTAGCCCGACAGATCCTTTGATCAAGCTCTACGCACATAAAATCAACCAACAATGCCTTTCAACAACCCCCAAGAGTGGGCCTCTTCCCTCCCAATCACCCCATCAGCAATACAGAACCAACCATTTCAATTTTACAGATTAGATAAGCCACTCCCACTTTAAAGCTTTCTCTCAAAAATCCAACAATATCTCTCCTCAAAATTCTCTGCTATACATTGATTTTCCCTCCTTTCTTTGCTCAAACTAAGAAGAACAAGAAAAGAGCAAGAAACCCCAAGAATTAATTGCAGAATGAGTACTGCTTCTTTGTGCCAATCAACTCTTCAATCTCAGATCAATGGGTTTTGTGGGGGTATAAAAATCCGCAAGATTCAACCTTCTTCTTCTAACCCCAATTCTATTACCTTCACTAGGTATGATTTTTATGTTTTTTATGATTTCTTTCATCTGGGTTTTTTCTTTTGAGCTTTTATTTTGATGGGTTTTCAAGAAATTAGGAACTGAGTAGAAATAGAGCGCATTATTCTGCATTTATCTCCATTTAGTTTGATTGGTGTTTGAATTGCTCCATTTAAGTTGTAGTTATTGACTGGTTCAAAAGTTTGCTTATGATGCTAGAAACCTTAAGCATTAAGTGTTAATAATACTAATGGACATATGATTTTGTCATGAATTCCGAGATCAATGCTTAGTTAGCAAATGTATTTATTGCCTTAATAACTTGAAATATAAGGGATTGTCTAGAGCTTGGGGAAATTTTTTATGGAAGTACTTACTGTGGATGATTGTTATATTGATTTGTTGAATTTTGAAGATGAAAAGCATTTGCTCTGGTAATTGCATGATTTCTGACAAGGGGAATCTGCAATGTTGTGTGTATGATTTACTGAATGTTAGTTCAATGAGATCAGAGGAGTATATTTTTTAAAGTTTAGAGGATCCTTTGGATAAGTTCTCGGCGAATTCCTAGGACTTGGTGCCGACTTGCTTCTCAAAGGACATTGTACATATATATGGTTAAATTGGTGGCATAATGGAATTGGATGATGAGATTTCTTTGTGTCTATCGATGATCTATAGAAGTAACAAAGCACTATTATCTAGCCTGATTTATGCATAGTTAGAACTTAGAAGTAAAATTTGTATAAATTCTTCATGTGGAAGGGAATATTTCAATCGATCAAAGTGTTAGCATACTGAAAGAAAAAGCAAAGCGAAAATTACATTGTATGATAAAATAGTTACACAACCTGCCAAATGGTAACTAAGCACATCTATGATATTCATGTGCATGATCAACATTTTAATTTTATTTTCACAAATATTGGCTTCTTTGAGGATATGTTTGTCCTAGAATATTCAAGTAGTCCAGACTACTGTAGTCCTATAAGTTTGGCATGTGAAGTATATTATTAAGATAGTGAAACACAGATTCCATTGATAGTCTTTTTAATTTTCATGTTTGTTGTGGTAGGAGAAAAGTTCAAACTGTTGTGAAGGCATCTCGAGTTGACAAGTTCTCTAAATCTGACATCATCGTTTCTCCATCAATTCTTTCTGCTAATTTTTCAAAGCTGGGTGAGCAGGTACCTATTTCTTTCTTCTTCTTCTTTTTTTTTTAATAACTAGAAGCATTTAGATAGCCTTTATTAGCTTGATTGTTTATTATCATTCTAGCTATATTAATTTATGTGATATTCTCTTACAAATCTTTCCTAAGTGTTATTTATGGAATATCAATTGTATCTGATGTTATGTGTTCTTGACTTCTTGCTTGTAATACTTCTAGGTAAAAGCTGTTGAATTGGCTGGTTGTGATTGGATCCATGTTGATGTAATGGATGGTCGATTTGTTCCAAATATCACTATTGGACCTCTGGTTGTCGATGCTTTGCGGCCAGTGACAGATCTCCCACTTGATGTGCATCTGGTAATTTCTCTTCCAGACATACCACATTTTAATGGTTAATTTTGGGTACTATGCTTACTTGAAGTTGATTTGTTTGTAGATGATTGTAGAACCAGAGCAGCGAGTCCCAGATTTCATCAAAGCTGGGGCTGATATAGTGAGTGTTCACTGTGAGCAGTCATCCACCATTCATTTGCATCGGACCGTAAATCAAGTAAGTTATTGGTATATTGGATGAGCATTATCTTTCTAGGCTTATGTTTCTTCTTCATTTATTTATTTATTTATGATTTCCTAAATAATGTTATTATATGAAATATGATATTCTCATTTGGCACTTAAAAGATGCAAGCTCTTAAAGATGGTTCTTTTAATAAGATTGCTCGAGTAACCCCATATTAAAGTGTCACTATTCCATGAGAACTTGTCTACTCTTCCCATGCCCATTAAAAATGATCCATATGTTGGTGTGGCTTCATCTGGCTTTAAACACATGGTTTTTACATGAAGAATGCACCTTAATTTCTCTTCTTGGGTGAAGAATGATCCTTGAATGTGATTGCAATTGGTTGCACTTGGCCGCTTGTACCAAAAAAGGAAAAGCTGATCGGTGGTAATTTACGTTTTATTCTGTACAAACCAAAATAAACAATCCTACACTTAAGCCACCTGGTAAGTTTCGCTAGATGGAATCTCAACGAGGAAGAGCAAGTAGAAATCATGCAAGAGTGCTTCAATGAAGAATTGAGAATTGGGAGGGTCAAAAGATGTATTGGGTATTAATCTAGGCACTGACCTCAGTCAGTTGAGATTTCATAATTCTGTTTAAAAAAATTCCTATATAATGGTATTATCCTCTAGTATTCTCCTTCAAGGGATTTGGAGCTAAGACATTGTGGAGTGTGGGTCACTTGTTTTCTGGAAAGCCTTTCTCAAGAATTTGGCTTAGAAGGTCTGAGATTCAGCTTCTGTAAAATCTGACTAAAATTTACAATGTGCCAAGCAGCTGTTAATTGTGACAATCTTACGCTTGCCAGAATTAATTACTGAAGTTTTTTAATAAATTAATCATCCAGTTGATCATAGAACTCTGAAGTTAAATTTTGATACTTGACTGGATCTATTAGCTACTTATATGAACCCCATGGACAAGATGTGCTCTCAGAACTTTGCACCAAAATTAGGATAAGACAGAAAACTTGTGTGACACCAAGGAAAATTATTGGGAAACTAAGTTTATTCGTCCTGTTGTCTCCAACCACTGCACAATATTTCCTTGGCTATCTCGCTCGTATACCACTATCACCCAATTCCTCCCCACCCCCCCCCCCCCCACACACACACCATTGCATCTGCAGGTGCAGCAGCAATGAGCATTATTCAAGGAGTGAATATGCTCAAATTAGAATTTCCAGATTACATTGTCAATCTTATAATAAGTTATATTCTTTGTCAATTATCTTTCTTAATATATACCTTAAAGCCAATCTTTCAGTTTCTAAATTAAATGTATCTGCTTCAGATCAAGAGTTTGGGCGCTAAAGCTGGTGTTGTTTTAAACCCTGCAACCCCGCTAAGTACAATTGAGTACGTGCTTGATGGTAAGTCTTCTCTTGGTGGAATGGACTGAAGTCCAAGCTTGATTCTTTACGACTTGACTTTTTAGTGGTGTGTTATATCAATGAGAAATCACAAGGCAGGGAGAGTATGCATAGGTTCTTGCTGTCTTGTTCTTATTTTCCAGGAAACTGTCCAGTGTCCTGAAATGTGATTGCAAATTTATTTTAGTTTCCGCAGCAGGACACTAGATGGATGTACTTGGATTTTTCTTTATGCAATACGACTTACTAGATGATTCTTAATAACAGTGGTTGATCTGGTCTTAATAATGTCCGTAAACCCTGGTTTTGGTGGACAAAGCTTCATTGAGAGCCAAGTGAAGAAAATCTCAGATCTAAGAAGAATGTGTGTAGAGAAGGTATTTGTGAAGTTTCTTCATTTTCCTTTATTTCCTTTAAAACTATAGCTTGATTTCAAAAATTGTCATAAACTCCCATATAATTGGCAGGGGGTGAACCCGTGGATTGAGGTTGATGGTGGAGTTACTCCAGCAAACGCATACAAGGTAATTTTATTTATCTATTTTATTTTGTTTAATTTTCTTAAAAAGTTTGTAGATAAATGCAAGCCTATTGAAAAAGTCATCTAAAGGGCCAAGTAAAAGAGGGCATTGCACATTTCAATTGGCTACTTGCCCAAATTTTCTGTTGTTGGTTGTTTGTTATAGAGTATATAAACCAATCTTGGGCTTCAACCATCAGCTTAAGATTTTGGTTGAGATGATCCTTTAACAGTTTGCTTCAATTAAATGCATTACAATTTTCATCCCATCTTGACTAAATACAAGCCTTGGCATGCTTGCAACTGTGTCATGTGAGGCTACTTTAGCTGTCTTTTTCTGTTGTTATTATAGGCACTATGAGAGGCCGGATAGATTGCTAAACTTTTAACAATTGAATTTCAAGAACCTTTGAAACTGTTAAAGATGTGAATATAATACGGTGCAAGTCCAGGTGAGCCTGTCTTTAAAAGCTACGATGGTACTTTTAGCGCCTTGTTTTTATATTTTCACATGGAAAACTAAGGTCCATCATGTAAGTTTACAGGTGACCTAACCCAATGGCAGGCCCCCCAAGGCCCCAAGTCCCCAAGTCCCCAACATGTCTCAGTCCTTTCATTTGCAGTAACGCTTCCTCTTGCTTGAGACCATGAGTATAATTTTTTGATTGCTAAAATCACTATTACAATCTGCAAATTGAATTCCGGTGTTATTTTCTTAGATTTGGCAAACATAATGATTTTGCTTAATTCTGCAGGTCATCGAGGCTGGAGCCAATGCTTTAGTTGCTGGTTCTGCGGTCTTTGGAGCTAAAGATTATGCTGAAGGTATCTAATATACTGCCCTTGTACATTTTTCATTTTTATAATTAGCATCGCTGCATTTTAACATTTTGAATTGAATCTTGTGCAGCTATAAAAGGGATTAAGACCAGCAAAAGGCCAGAACCTGTTGCAGTATGAGGTTCCAAATGTAAAATTTTGTTGACAATCAAGACCTGGATTCCTAATACAAAATCTCCTGTATGTTCCCTTCTCATTTCTTTTTAGATATCCAGCATAAGATCTTTGCTAGTTCAATTACATCCATTGTGGATGATGGATAGCTTGATGAATTAGTTCTATGAATCGATTTCCTTTAAAGGAACACTTTTGACTTTTCATTCTTTTCACCTTTAAATAAAAGGTAACCGTGTGAAAAAAGTGAGCCTCTGTACAATAACATGTTTTTTTAAATAAGATGACATGCGAAATGTGGATATCAACTAGCTTGGTCAAAGTATTTCAATGGGGGATTGCACCAGTTTAGAGAGACTGCGAAGGTGGGGTGGGGGTGGGGGCATTGATTATCAAGACTCGTTGCCCTTTCCATCTGTATATGACGCATGTGCATTCGTGGTATGGAGTCCCTGTATAAGTTCCGTAAAAGTATACAACAGTCTAATGTTTCTATTGTGGCATCTGGCATGTTGTGGATTGTTATCTAATGTAACATCTAGAGTTGATAAGATTTAGACATCTAGAGTCTATATTAGGCATTTATTTCTGGCGCTCTATGGGTTGTTATCAAATGTAACATCTTGGGTTCGTATGATTTAGAGACATTAGCACACGTATGCTCTAGCTGTTTTGATGTTAATTTAATGTGTATCAAAATCAAGTGTACTTCTCACTTTACTTTCATTTGTTTCATTTTCCTAGGTCTCGAGCAGATATATATACAGCAGCTGTTTGGAACCATGGTATTAATGCTTGAAGATGACGTTCAGCAAGAGTGCTTGTAGATTAGAACTCTGTTACATAGTATTGTTTTACATAAGCCTCGTTTATACTAGATTTCTTGGTACATTATCAATTCATAAACATCTGTACAAATGTTATTTTGGATTGTATCTACCAATAAGATGAAAACTTAAGCCCAATTACTCGTGTGCTCGGTTGTTCATCAACTTTTGTTTTTTGATTTCAAATCATTTCTAATTTACAGAATTAACACGAAACTATGAAAGGGAAAAGCAGCAATTCAATCTGAACTGTATCCGTTTTGAACAGTATTGTTTCCAACCCAATGACTTGTAATTTGATGGCTGAACATATATTCAGATTTTCTCATAAGAAATTTATGAAAACTTGGCGACCAATAAAAGGGGCAGAAATGATTTGGAACTAGCAGCAACAGGAAGCCGGAAGTAAACTAATGCAAAACTTACAAATTGCCAGCACTTCCTTCCTCAATACTGAAGAAAATTTGGTTACATTCCGGATGAGGAAGGAGGCTTTCTAGGTTCACTCAGTGCTCACTAAATATATACAAAACTAATTACGCATAACTCAGCAGAAAGGTGTGTCGATCATCCAACAGTTGACAATTCATATATACATTAGAAGTATTCAGAACAGCAAATTCTAACATCCCTTCTACAAACAGGACAGGAGCTCCGTGTCACAAGCCACTTATCCACACAATTTTGGTGAAACGTGTGTCTGCAGTGAGGCAAACTCCTAGCCGTATCTCCCACTTCAAATTCCTACGCACAAGTTTATAATAACAATCAGCATTGTTCTGTTGCTGGGAAATTGGTATTTGAGTAAAGCATATGTGATGGATCTTTCATTATTATTGGGGTAAGATGAAAAATTAAAGTAAAAACTGAGTAAAGATAGACCTGCAAACATATGGTGCAGCAAACGTTGTCCGCTCCTCTGTTAATATCCAATATCACATGGCACGGCAACTCCTTAAGTGAATCCTTAGATAACCCTCTCGCAGCAACATCACCATAAATATCATAAGCATCGTCATAAATAATGTTGGCGATGCTTGCCTGTAAGTTTGCAACGAAATTCATAAATTTCAAATTATACAAAAGATGAAATGAAGCCAATAATCTCTTAAACATTTAATTAGTACGGAGTAGGGACGATGATGTACATGCTGATGCAAAGTTAGCTTATCCTATATCTACTTAGGTATAATCTCGAAAGAGCTTAAGTAATTTTTTCAACAATCAAGAACGAGACTGATGTATCAAATATGTTTACAACACTATGATTTACCTGCCAATAGTACCCAGTAAGCACCGCAGGTGGTAATTGTTCCTCAACAAATCTCCCATGGAGTAGCTCCTCTATGAAATCAGCCTGAAAACAAAGAGTAATTAAAAAAAGCAACAAAATAAGTGCACCAGCTTATACATAGATATAAAATCATAGAAAAATCTCTGTTTATCTTGTAACTGGGAATAGAAGAAGTCGATTTAGAAAACAAGGCATCTTTTCAGCATTCACACAGAATCAATGAATTAATCAAACTCAGCATAAAGTGAAAAACATAGGCCAGATTCATATTTCACCTAAAGTATTATGAAATTAAGATTTGAGGAAAGGAATCAAAAGATGACAAATATGATTTTCAAGAACCCGATGGTAGTCCAGAAAAACCTTACATACAGCAGCCTTTATGAAATATAAGTATGAGCTTCTGATTTCTATATTCTAATATCTCAGGCATACAAGTCTAGGTCTTCGAAATATCATAAGAAACAGATGAGCCGTAGCATACTAACCATGGATGAACTAAGTGATCCAGATTGCTGTGAACACCAATAAGCACGAGAGGCCTCCAAAACCTCTACAGAAAGAACAGCACCAGCCACAGCACCCAACCCTGCACCTCTGAGTAATCCATTATCAGAAGCTCTACCAGCTAAAGCTCCAGTAATGGCTCCTGTAAATGCACCAGCTGCAGAATACAAAAAATCAGAGATATAAAACAATACCATATTGCCATCATGCCGTCTATATTCTCATCCGCATCCCCTTTTCCAGCCCATTCCCTCTTTCAGAGAAAAAGAAAATTACATATTTAGAATGTTAAATAAAAATCAAATACCAAAAAATAAGACGGGCAGCAAACATTAAAACTCCTACCTACACACAGTATTCCAGGAAGTCATGAAAATTTGAAGACTTCATGGACTCATACAATTTAGTGCAAAACAAACCATAACCCAAATGGCCTAATCACCCAAATGTAACAAGGTTATAAAGTTGGGAGCTACATGTACATACATTTACGACTACGAAGGCAGCAGAGATGTTCCGATAAGATATAAGTTACTTCACAGCAAATCAGAAGTAGGTAACAGGTCAGTAGACCTTGGAAAACATAAATTCTCAGAAAGGAAGAAATCAAAGCAAAATAATCACCCTGCTAAAAAGAATTATGATTGTATAATACTACAAGTATAATTTAATTCAGCTATGTGACAACTAGATTTAGACAGAAACCATATCTCAAAGTCCCAATCACGAATTTAGGTTCAATCATCATTTCATCAACCCAACTTAAGATCCTTCCAACCATATGCTATTAAACCAAGTACTAGCTCACTACAATAAATTATTGTTGATAAACAGTCTTTATAATAAAAAAATCATTGTAGGCGCAACAGTTAAAAATAAAATAAAAGCTCAAAATCTTTGACTAAATCTCAATGCAACAGTTACAAACTACATATGACTTCCAACAATCACAACCTACACATCATTTCAGAGATATCAAAGAGCACATCCCCCATCTAAACATCAATCTGTACAATCAACACAATAGAACTACTAAAAACATACAAAGATCAATATCTCAATCCAAAACAATCCCAAAAAAGACTGAATCTTTTTTTTGTTTTTTTTTCAGAGAAAATAATTATTAAAGAGAGAAAGGGAGATTAATACCAAGAGCAAAAACACCAGTGAGAGCACCAGTAACAGCACCACCAATAAACTTGGGAATATATTCATAAACTCCAACATCAGTAGATTCAAAAAACCCATCTCCAAAATCCTCCATTTTTAAGTTTAGGTGTCAGTGAAAGAGTCGTTGGACCCAATTCAGAATTCCCAGAAAAACCCTCAAATCTGAGACTGAAAGAGAGAGAAAAACGAGGAAAGAGCTACAGGTGTAGGTGGGGTGATGGTGGAACCCACATTCATAGATAATGAAAACTGAGTTATCATTTGTACGAATTAGGGGTGCCCTATTTGTTTATTTTTTACAGATCCACAGAATTTAGGAAGCATTAAAAAGCTGATAAATTTAGGTTGCTGTTGTTAAATAAGGTACCTCACAGAACATGACTCATTCAACCCCGAATTTTATGTTGATACTGTGATGAATGATGTAATAAAGTCGAGTTTTTTTAGTCTTTTCGGTAGGAAATTGGATTGAATTGCTTGCTTAAGTCCGTATTCGGGTATTTGATTGGATATTGAATCTCGTACATATCACCGCCTTTAATTTTATGTGTAATTATTAACCAAGACAGATAATTTGTGTAATCATTTTCATTAATCGAGATCTCAAGGTCGATTTCAACAATATAAATGACTTGTAATCGAATCTCATTTATTTTGCACGGTCCCTGAAAACCAATATCGTTTTCAGAAGGCAAAATAAGCGGCAGACATCGTGGCCTACTTTGTTTATGATATCACAGGCTCACAGCTGCTCTTTAATGTCATTGATTTTCGACTCGTAATATTATTGTGCTCTCTTTTCAGTTTAAATTTCAATTCAAATTGTCTCAAACTTGATCAGTAACATGGAGTTAAAAAAAATATGTACAGCACTAATATATTAAATTATGCTCATGAGGTTTTTACAGCAAGTTGTTCATCAAGGTCTCAAATCGAGCTTAAGTTTCAAGTTGAATTCACTCAAATCGACCTAGTACCTGGACCACAGCTCATGGTTGGATCTTCCCTTTTACCTTGGGGAAGGGGGGAAGAGAGAGAAGGAAAATGAAAAGAACTCCATTAGAGTTAATATAATCCAATGCATTCAAAATGATAGTGAATTAATCATCTCAAGAATTAACAGAAGTTCGTAAGAATCTAATTTTATACTCCAACACCCATCACCACTGCCAGCAAACCTCCTCTCCTCCCTCCGAAAAAAGGTCTCACGGGAGGGAGAGGGGAATATATGGCTATGGAATAAAAATACAAAACCAGTATTACAGATGACTGATGCATGCACTACCCAAATTGGCAGACATGATCAGCATAACTCTGGTCATTAACTCCTCTTGGCACCCTCCTTTCAACCAGCTGATTCCTGCACTGTTTTTCATACAACCAGAGTAATCACATTCTACCTTTTTATGGAACTGTTGCACCCTTGCACCTTTGATCTCCGTCATCTAGACCTATTCGACAAGGAACACAACAGATTGAGGATGATAGTGAAATGCTACTTCTTTGTGTACAGTAATGGATGGATATTTGGTCTAATGAGAAACTAAGAATATTTTCTCAGTAAAGTTTCTGGTTTATGGAATATGGTGAACGCAATCACGTCATAGGCTATGTTCTCTTCACCTAAAATAAATAACCACGGAAAATTTTCCGTAAGTTTTCAATAATTAGGACCACAGAAATTCAAGTTAACAAATGCAATAAATTCATATAAACTCAGATAAGACAAATTCAAGTAAAAAGAACACCCCCCCCCCCCCCTGGTAGCAGTAAAGTACACCTAGAATCTTAATCTACTAGCAATTGCATGCATATCAAATTCTGTTCTCACATTATGACAGAAGCTGGTAAGTAAAGGTAAAAAGCAAGAATGAAGACAGAAACTGGATGTAGAAAAAGGGCAATGGAAGTAGTTGAAACCCAATTATGTGTCATAACTCTCACAAGGACCACCTACTTCAAGGAATGCACAAAATATGGAGGTTATGCAACCTTGTGTTACAGACCTTATAGTAATTGTAATACACAACTGTTGGTAGCTGAACATGGAGGGGGGGGGGGAGTTTTTTTCCTAATTAATAGTTCCATAATCAACATACATCTATTAGACAACTGATAGAAAGTCGAAGGATATTGTTTTCCGGGTTTGATTAGTATTACATTTTGCAACTTAGTTTCTGTAGACTATGATTAGATAAGTGCAAGACTCTAGAATTGTGAAACAATACAAAGAATAAACCTTACAAATGGCTACAGTATAAACCTTGTACTATGGTGATATGGCCATCAAAAGCTTTGTTAGTCAAAGACATAGGAAAGTTTCCTAATATCATAGCATTTTTGAAGGAAAATAAAAAATCAACTCAAAGGCTTTGTTCTTTACACCTTACAACAAATAAGTTATATAAAGTACTTCCAATTGCCAAGCATGGCCCAAATACAGGCTACCCAACTTCATTTCACGGCTACAATTCAGATAAGTTCCAATAAATTCAAACAGCATCCAATAAGAAATTCCAATAAGTTATTTTTGGGTGAAAAGAAAGAAGCCCAAGACAGCTAATGCCAGGGGCAGAAAAAAGGAGATGACTGGTTATCTTTTATGTATGCTTCAACCGCTACACTCCTAGGAGCAGCTGTTTAAGACGATTAAGAGTGCGCCATCCTTACAAACAACCGCAACATAATCTACAGAACACAGTGCTATACACTCACAGAACCCGCTGAATATACAATATGGCAATCCATAGACGTTATAACTTATGAAATCAGCACTGAAACAAAATTTATGCTAAAACAGCATTTCAAGTAAAAAATTTACAGTTGCCTTTGTATTAACTAGTACAAAGTAATTAATAGGGAATTTGATCAATAATGTTAATAGCATGATGGGATCAGGAAAAGGCCATCACATTTACAGAAATAAGACAAATAAAGAGGACATCAAAATAAAACATAAAAAGACACTTTCACAAGACAGGGAGAGTAAGAAATTTTCACCTTTTTCTAAATGAAGTCACACAAGACCTTGCCGTGAAAGGTCATAGTACATAGTAGCAGTGTAGCACCCAGCATTAATCCTATTAAAACTTAATGCCTTCTTGAAAAACTGTTCAAGTTCTGCCATGAGAGCTCATGATGGCAGACTTGGCAGTCGAAGCTATTATTAAGCAAAAAGCAAGTTGTCAGGGAAGGAGGTTCTGACAATTTGAAGTAGTGGTTGAGAATAATGAAAATTGTAACGCTGCAAGAATGATCTGACCACGACTCATATGACTCATATCCAATATGTGACACCACACTGTACCGTTACCAAGAGGAAAGCAGAATAATGTTGCCCTGTTGAGGACCTGGAGGTCATGCACTTTAGGCCAAGATATCAGCATCCACACAAAGAAGGGCAAAATGAAAACAGTTTAAACATTCGTCCATTTTCCCATACTTTCATAGTGTCATTGTTTGATGATAAATGTTTTGTATTTTACAATAGTTACTGATGTCGGATGGATCTGGAATATGATCAGAACTTCTGACTATTCCCATCAAGTGTTCAAGGACATTATATATCTCGGCTTTCAGGGGATGGTGAGTGTCTCCGGCAACAAACTCATTCACCTCACTTGCCACCTCAACTGAACTGCAGCCAGGCACCCGGCGACACTCTATGCGATCCCTTACCATCATTTTTTCATACCAAAGCCCCCTTCCAGCATACATGTTTGACAAGGTAACATCATCACCAACATGTGTTGGATCCAAGTTCAATAGCTGCAACCGAACCTTTGCACCAAGCTCAATATTACCATGATTACAACATGCTCCTAGCAAAATCCTCCACATCAGTGCATTTGGCTGAACTAGCGTTCCCGATATAAAATCATAAGCCTCCTCCAAGAGCCCAGCTCTGCAAAAAAGGTCTACCATGCAGCCAAGATGAGCTAGCCTTGGCCATAGCCCATAGTCTTCCATCATGCTTTTGAAATACTGCTTACCTTCCATTACCATCCCACCATGACTACAAGCCATAAGAACTCCCAAGAAAGTAACATCGTTGGGAAGCACAAATGATTTGCTGCCCTTGTCAGAACTTCTAATTTGTTTCATTCGTGCAAACATACCAAGAGCCTCAAGAGACTGCCCATGTAGTGCATGCCCAACAATCATAGAAGTCCATGTAAATACATCTTTTTTCCCAGAGATGCAAAATAATCTGCGTGCAGCTCTTATCTGTCCACACTTGACATACATATCAATGAGAGCATTATAGAGACAGAGATCAATTTTGAGCCCATGTTTACGATAAGTATAAGCATGAATTTGCTCTCCTATGGACAATGCACCAAGATCTGCACATGAAGCTAGAGCAACAGTCAGTGTAACTTGATCGGGCTCAAATTTGCTTATCACCATCTGCTTGAATATTGCAAGGGCTTCACTAGCCATGTTGTTATCGATGTATGCAGTAATCAAAGAAGTCCAGCAGATTGCATTTTTGCAGCATACTTCATCAAATATACGATGAGAACAACCAACATCCCCCATCTTTGAATACAATTCTATCAAACATGTCTGGAGATATATCACAGATTCAAAGCCCACTTTCTTGACGGTGGCGTGCAATTGACGTCCCTCAACTATTAAGGACTCTTGAGTACAAGCCTTGACAACATACAAAGATGAGTAGCTGTCCACAGCAGATGGATTTTGCCTCCAAAGTTCTCTGAAGAATACTATAGCTCTTGTAGCAGAATGTGACTCGAGATATTTTTTAAGCGTTTGATTTGCTTTAGGTGGTCTGAGCAGATCTTGGAGCTTAGATCTGGGTTGACTACTTGTGAATGAAGAATTTACCACCTTATGGATTGATGAGACTCTATTCATATATATCATACTCACTGCACAAAAATTCTGGCCTTGCTATTCTTTCACATGCTATGAACTTGCAGCTTTACTTGACAGACAATATAAGAAAGACCTGTTCAAACATGAATGCACAACAATAAGCAATCAAATAAATCATCCATTAATAACTAGAAAACTAACCATAACTCCATAAGAATCCAAAAATAGAAATTGAAGAGCTAGGATACAAGGAAATACGATGATTAACTCCTCAACAAGATCATGAAGAGCCAAATTTCATGGTTTCATGTAACTAGAGGAACTTCTGCAACACTTGACCATAATTTTTCCAAAAACCACTAGAAAACTAATACAGTCAGAAATAAGAATAATCTATTCAGTCTCGCAAGATTTTAGATTGAAAACTTGATCACCAAGCAGGGCTAGCACCACCAGTGAAAGTCAGTGACGCTAAACTAGTTCACCAATGCACCAACTTATTTTTGGAAATCTGCATAAAAAAAAATTAAAAAAAAAACATTGAACCAATATTCAAACTACTGGTAGCAATTAACATAAGAAGTATTTACCATAGCATATTAGCAAAGCAAAAACAATATTGTTTCCCCTTTTTCTGGGGGGAGGGGGGGGGGATGGTGGGGAGGGGATTCATGTATAACTTAAAAATAGCCAATGCAAACAGTATTGAGTACAACAGGAACTTATTTTCTCACCCAGTAAATTTTGGTTATCCTGTCTCGGTGTTTCTTATGACATGAGGGTAAGAAACTTCACCCAAGACAGTCAGGAATCTAATCACATGTTATACATCTGAGATCCTGGTCAAGAAGAAGGGTAGAACACCATCTTCTTCAACAATTAGCCTTTTCTATTCTGATCCATAGAAGATGGACACAAATATAACATCAATTGACAAAAGGACTTTTTGTATTTTAGGCTTCCCCTCCCATGATACACGTGCAAATCTCAGCTGATAGAAGCCTTAAAAAAAGTGTACTTCACCATATATCCCAGCGAGAATTTGGCAGACTTTCATATACAAGTATTTCTTTGTACATTGCCAATTTCACGAATCAACATTAACAAATAACAAAGTGCCTCCCAACTGTTTGGGAAACATCTGCTTGGACCATGCAGCACCTAAGCCAAGTATATCCTCAAAGCACTTCAAAGCTGATTTGACATCCCCGATTTCTTGGTAAGCCTTGTGTAGGATTGGGTAAATGATTGTGTCAGGCAAGAAGCCTAATTTGAACATATCTGCCTGCAACATCAATAAATTTTGGACATGCAGAGCTCGGGCATGGCCCATAATAATGATCATGTAGGTAATTACATCAGCTTTTAAACCAAGATTTCTCATATCTGAGAAAAATTTACTAGCTCTAAGCACTCTTCCTTCTTTACACAGACCTTGTATAAGAGCCGTATATGCTACATGATTAAAAGGACTTGTTCTTTTCTCACACTGATTTTGAGTGCCTTCACAATGTGCAGAAATAGTACCCTTTAAAAAAAAATTGGATGCATCATTAAGACGTCCATCTTTGCACAACCCATCAATGAGACAACTAACTGTGAAACCATTAGGGATGAGCCCTTCCTCCTGCATTTCTTTATACATGCCAAGAGCACCCTCCGTGTCAGCATTTTTAAAAAACCCATTGATTAAATCTGTATAGGTCACAACATCAGGCAAAATTCCTTTGATTATCATCTCTGAGTATATGCCCTTTGCAGCATCCACATTCCCTTTTTGACAGTATCCATGTATGAGTGTAGAGAAGGTGATAACATTAGGTTCTATACCTTCTTCTATCATCTGTGAGCATAGTTCCAGAGCTTTCTCCATGTTGCCTTGTTTGCAATGTCCACCTATAAGAGAGTTGTATGTCACAGAATTCACAAGAATTCCTTCATCTTTCATCTTTAAAAGTAGATCATCTGCTTCTTTCACCCTACCTACTTCAGATAAACCCTTTATGAGAATACTATAAGTAAAAACATCTGAAGGGATACGAAAAGTTTCCATCTCTCCATACATAGCCAGAGCTTCAGTGAGATTTCCAGCCTTACAGAGCCCATCCATCAAACTATTGTATACAAATACATTAGGAGGAATACCAGCCTTCATCATACAAGGGAAGAGGCTTCTTGCAGTCTCCACTCTACCATTTTTGCAAAAACCATCAACTAAAATTCCAAATGTAACAACATTAGGCACCAAGTTACGGCTAAGCAATTCCCTATATAGTCCCATAGCAAGTGGCAAGTTGCCTATTTTACAGTGTCCATCCATCAAAACATTGTAAGTGTATAAACTGGGAATTACATCAGTATCTTTCATTACCCTAAATAAATCTTCCGCTTCTGACAACCTATCCTTATTACACAAACCATGAATCAAAGTCGTAAAGATAACAACTGTTGGTCTGAACCCTTTCCCAACCATTTCATCAAACAAGACTCGTGATTTCTCAATGTCCCCTTCACCACAACAAGCACCAATCAAAGTACCATACGTAACAACAGTAGGAACCATCCCTTTCTCAATCATCTTGTCATAAGTTCTCCAAACCGAACCAAACCTACCCGCCTTAACTAACCCATTCAAAAGTGCATTACAAGCCTGAATTGAAGGCAATTCTTCAATCTTATAATATACCCAAATGGCTTGATCTATAAGACCCATTTCAGATAATGCAATCATTAACACTCCAAACACATTTTTTTTCAAATTTAGACTCACCAACCCGACTCAAGTCCTTAAAAACAATGGAACAAACACGGGAAGGTGGGCAAGTCAAGAGAAGATCCTGGATGAGGCATTTTAACAAACACCTAGCCTGCAAGTACCATTTGGCATTGCTTAAAACATGAACAATCGCCGAATGAGCTCGGCGATTCTTTGCTACATCAATCGACATCGAAACTGAATTGAAGTAATTCAGTGCTTGATCAGGGGTTTTACTACCAAGTATCCTATCAATGACCTTAGACATATAATCATTGGATGAAGTAGTTGTAGAAAAATTGCTCATACTTAAACATGCTAAAGATCTCTTTAAACAACAAAAAATTGTTTTCTTTGGTGAATAAACCCTCAACATTTGCTCAAATTAACTGAAAACACTCAAATTACCCAATTAATGCATTAAATTTGTAATCTTTGATCAATCAAATTTCTGGGTTTTTATGTACATAGTTAAGAAAAAGGTGGGCAAGTGAGAAATTACCTCAAAAAATTTAGAAGGGAGGATTTGGGGATTTGAAGTTGGGAAATTGAATGGTTAGTCTGAAAAATTTAGAGGAATAATTAGGCTTAAGATTCAAAAGCAAGAAGAATAAGTAGAGAGAAGAAGGGATGAATGGAGGAGAGAGAAAATACCGGGTTGCTGCAAATAGATGGTAGATGATGCCGCCGGAGAAACTAGGACTGCTCGAACAAGAACACCCAAGTTAAGGAACTACTCCGACTCCGTAATCTAATACTCGTAATACGGATTACCCAACTCGATTTTTTTTTATTTTTTTTTTTTTGTGAAACACTAGAAATTTATTTTACACTAGGGTAACCTTGTGCGATGTACAGTTTTAAAATTAAAATTTAATTATAGACATTTAATTAGGAAAATACTACTTCTTCAAATAACTGAAAGAAAATTACTACTTCTTCAGTTTTTCTAATTAATTTCTAATTAAATATGAATATACAAATTCAAAAGTACATAATTATATATTTAATTAGGAAATTTTAATTAAATTATATTATTAACTATTATTAACAACTTGTAAATAAATAGCATAATATGTGTAGAAAACCTAAAATTTAAAATTTAAAATTTAAAAATTCAATTGGAATATAATTTTCAAAGCAATGTTAAATAGGGTAGCTTTAAAAAAGAAAAATTTAGGACATCATCATTGCATTTTGGAGGGAAAAAATAATAAAAAAGTGGCATGTAGGCAGTGATGACATCAACGGTTGTTATTTTAATATATAGAATAAACTAAGTTCTTTGCCCGAGCAATGCTCGCAAATTCACCAGAAAAAAAAATTATAAATTACTACTTCATATAAATTTGAGAAGTTCTATTTATGTTACGGAGTATCAAATTATTACAGATTAGATACGGTGATGTAGAGTACTTATATCTAATTTTAGTTTTTCTGACATCTTATGAATTTAAAATTGAGTTCATTTTAAGTATTAAGTTATTAACAGTTAAAGATTCAAGGGAATATACAAAAAAAATATTTTATTTATTTAAGTTGTTATTGTTGCTCTATTTTTAGGTTGCATATTCTTTTTTCTTTTTTTTGGTGAAAGAGAGGGGCAAGCCCCAAAGAGAAGAACAAACCAAACTAAAGAACACAAAACACCAAACAAAACAAAACAGAATGCAAAGGGCTTGTTTGGCATCAGTTTTGGTTTTCAGTTTCCGGTTTTTTTGAAAACCAAAAACAGGAAACGAGAAAAAGGTGTTTTCCGCTTTTTTGTTGTCAGTTTTCAAAATTATCATAATATTAATTAGTTTATATAATTTTTTATTCATTATTGGACTCATATCATATACTTTTAGAAAACAAAAAACCAAAAAACAGAAACCCACAGCAATGCCAAACAAACCCGAAACAACTAGAAAAACAAAAGCAAAATAAACAGCTCGAAGCTAGGCATGCTAAGCACGATCCTTAGGCACCATCCTTGCACGAGCAACCCCACTTATATCCTCCAATAAAACGGCCCAAAGATCCCTGGGGATCACCTCAAAAATCACCATCTTCTGATCGGAGTGGACGCCATAGTTAGCTAACCAATCCGCTACTTGGTTAGACTCTCTATAACAATGACTAATAGTCACATCCCACCCATGACGAGAGATAAGAGATCTGCATTTTCGAACAAGATGAATATAAGGAGAGTGTGGAGGGACATCCTCCACTAGGAACCGCACTACCACTTCAGAATCTACAGCCAATTGCACCTTTCTATGGCCTGCATTCCAAGCCAACACCAGTCCACGCAACACACCATAAAAGCTCAGCCTTGGTATTGGTACCTACCCCACAATTGGAAGCAAAAACTTCAAAGACTTCACCATCATGACCCCGCACAATACCACCAGACCCTGCCTTCCTTGGATTTCCTTTAGAAGCTCCATCGGTATTGAGCTTAACCAAGCTAACACGAGGGAACTCCCATCAAATAAAAATTTCCTTCTTTCTAGCAACTCCAGCAAGTCCAGGGCCAATAGGTTTCTCAAGAGCACGTTTAAATCTCCAACACGAGTGGGAATAAAAGCCACTTGATCAATTGGCAAGTTTGCTTCCCTTGAGAAAACTCTCTCGTTCCTCCAACGCCACAACCACCAAAGCGTAACCGCAAAACACAATTGACTTGTGTGCTCCTTAACTTTAGACCTAGAATTCTCTGGGTTCGAGAGAATCCAATTAGCACATGATCTATCTGCCTCTAAACTAGATCTATTCATCCCCAGTTTGATCCAAATAACAGCAACTACAGGGCACTCACGCAAGAAGTGGTTAGTATTTTCTTCAGCCATACCACAAACCTTACACCTCGGATCATTTGTTAGCTTGCGGATAAAACGATTTCTGACATCTTATGAATTTAAAATTGAGTTCATTTTATATATTAAGTTATTAACGGTTAAAGATTCAAGGAAATATACAAAAAAAATATATATTTTATTTATTTAAGTTGTTATTGTTGCTCTATTTTTTAGGTTGCATTTTTTTTATGTTATTAATTTTTATGAACAAAAAAGAGGAAAAAAAAAAGAAGAAGAAGAAGTTTTTGGCGGGAATTTTTTTAATACAAACGCGACACATGTACTTTGAGGATAATGTTGGGGATTACTTTAGTATATTACTAGTTCTTTGCTCGAGCATCGCTCGAATATTCACAGGAAAATAAATTATATTATACAATATTTATATATTACTATAAGTTTGTATTTGTTTATAGATTGGGTATATTTTTAATATTTTATTTAATTAAATTTGTTGTTATTGTTCTATTATATATATATATATATATTGAAATAAGGTTGTATATGTAGGGGATTATAGGTACTACGCAGCGAAAATAATCATGAATCATATTCATATAGCACCTAACCAAGGATCTCATGCATAACACATAAAGAGTAAGAATAATACCTTTGAAGCGTGATTCCACAAGTGATCGAGCAAGAACAATAAGGAGAACAAGAACCCCACGTGTGATTCCTCTACTTAGTCCACGAGCATGGATTAAACCTCCACTAATGCTAGTTAATTGTGACTGAACGCTTCAATCAACCTTCAACGGAGATCCGAGTCACGAACACACCACACCACCACCCACGCGCCACCACACGCGCCGCCCACAAGGGAGAGCCGTACGGACAGGGAGGAGAGATAGTGAGGGCCGAATAGAGAGAGAGAATTAGGGTTTTGGGATGCTTGGTTGCTTGTGTGGCAATTTACTTTATGTCAATTGTTCTATATTGCAACCCTAGGCATGGTTTATATTTATAGATCATATCTAGAAATAAAACCATGTCAAGTCCAAATCCCATTAGACTCTTCTAATTATCCAAGCCCAAATATCAATGTGGTATGTCATGAACTCATGAGGCCCAATAATGGGCCTCTAACTTGTTTAACTCATTACTCTTATGTGTGACCTTGTAGGATCCATTCTATAAGGCTTTGGGCCATTAAGCTAGCCCAAAGATCAATTGTCATATCTAGCACCAAACATTGACGACCCTATAGAATGAACTTATTATCTCCATAATAGTGATCCTTGATATATCTAGTAATTGCACTTATCGAAGACATAACTCCTTCAGTATATCCTATTTTCCCATCAACTATCTTTTTATTTGCTAAGAAAATAATAAAAAAAATAAAAAGTTTTTGGCGGGAATTTTTTTAATGTAAACGTGACACGTGTAATTCTAGAATATTCCTAGTGATTAGTGTTGATAGATTGTTCACCTCATCTTATTTTTGCTTGAATAAAATTATCTGTTCTGAATTAAAATTATTTTTGCCGAACTTAAATTATTTTTATTCAATTAGGATTTTTTTTTTCTTTTTTTTTTTTAAAAAAAAAGCTAAAATCAGTTTTATTGAACTAAAATTATCTTTACCGAATTGAAATTATTTTTGCAGATTCTATATTACATTTCTTCTCTAAAGTTTCTACTTTATACTAAATTAAACTTAGGTTCCGTTTGCTTCACTTTATTTTTTGTTGAACTGAAGTTAATTTTACTGATTTGAAATTATTTTTACTGAACTGAAATGATTTTTGCTAAACTGAAATGATTTTTAATGACTCTATTATATTTTTTCTTTACAATTACTGATTTACTGAACTGAACTTTTATATACTGAATTGAACTTATTTTTACTGAATTCAAATTAGTTTCACTGATACTCCCTCTTTTTTTTTTAAATATTTGCACTATTTCTCCATGCGCGGAGTTTTAGGAGAATTTAGAGAAAGTAATAAAATATGAAGATAGTGGGGTAAGGGGAAGAATAAAAAAATTATAAAAAGCAAAAGTAGTTGAAAGAATTAGATGAGAAATAATATGAAATTAATAAAATATTATTTATGTTGGGACCAATATGTGAGAGAAATGAATCTATCAATCAATAACTATGTACTAAAGGCGAATAAAAAATGACACGTGGAAAAATCTGGTAAAATAATTTCCCTCTACTTTTTTTTTTTCTCCCCTTTTTTTGTCAGATTATCTTAGGCAATTTTAATACACTATAATATTTTCTTTCCTACTTAAACACAATCTTTCCGTCCCAAATTCAATAAAACATTTTTGTAACAACTTATAGAAAATTTAAGCAAAATAATATTATTTAAAAAGATATGCATAATTTTTAATATAATTAGCAGAATATCGATTTTTTCATACTAATTATAAAAAAAAAATCATAAAAAAGTTGTTGAAATAAAAATATTTATAAATTTTGGTAAATCCGTGCATTGCACGGGACCATAAGCTATAACTATAACAAAAATAGAAACCGCTGACATCATCCTTCTCCAAAGCTGTATACATGTCACTTTTTTATGAAATTTTTTCCCGCCTAAATGCATCTATAACTATAACTAAAATAGAAACCGCTGACATCATCCTTCTCCAAAGCTGTATACGTATCACTTTTTTATGAAATTTTTACCCGCCTAAATGCATTGATGACATCATCATATAGTTTTTTTTTTTAAAGCTAAGCTACTTCCTTAAATTACTTTCAAAATTGGATTATAAATAATGACTACACTATTATATATATATATATATATATATATATATATATATATATATATATATATATATATATATATATATATATATATATATATATATCAAATACGGAGTAGACGCTTCTACAGACTATTGTATAATTGTACAAATTTGCTAATCATAGGAATCAGCCTTTTTATTTTGTTTCCTAAATAAACAAAATAAATTGATTGTCCTCAATATAGCTAAAAATGATATCATTTCAAAAAAAAAAAGCTGTTTGGGTCCAATTTAGTCAAAATTGGGCCTGAGCACTAAATGATCCAATTAAAAGCCCAAGGTCAAGGTTCAACTCTCCAATTGCTCAAAAGTCAAAAGTCAGCCCACAAAGTAAGCCAATTGGGCTAAAGCCCAACCTCTCCA